AAAGCATCAAACACGTACCTATTCGGAGAATGGCGGGTCGATGACATTGGCCAGCAGGTTGATATTCCACGTGCTCTCGGCCCACAGTGCCTATTCGCGGGCCCACGTGAATGGGAAAGCCGAGCTTCCCCATATCCGAATCATAGGCAGCGCATCCAGGTTGGTGGGCTTTCCCTGTGGGTCGAGCACAACCAGCATCGACGTGTGCTCGAAACCCCACACATCCCGAATGTACCGCGCGGCCACTGACTTGACCAACAATGGGTGATTGACCGAGTGCCATGGCATGTTTTTCATAGATCGTAGAATACGGTCTCTTGAGTCAGGGTTAGCTGGGCCGTGGTGGGGTCCGTGCAACCATAGGACTTCTTATTCGTGTCTCATCGGGTGCTGGTTGTAGATTGAGTGAGTATGTGGAGCTCTTCTTGGGGAGCTAGAGGTTCTAAGTTGCATTCACATTCACAGTAATCAACTCTAAGGCTACCATATTAAATTAGCACTTGTTCAGGCAATATGTACCTATTTAACCAATAATGAGAAGTAAAATAAATGCAAGGTTGCCATAGAACAAAAAATGATTTTATGAAATACCACTTAAATTACTCACTTGAAAAGGGTGTATGGAGTCTTATTTGGGCCAGTGAACACAAATTGCTCTTGGTCCAATGAGTAAGAAAAGGACTCATCACATTATTGAAAGCTAAGCACATCTATATATCTAAATTGTAAACCATTAATGGATAATATGTGAACAAATTATAACGACTGTATTTACACATTGAGTGAAGTCCATTTTCCTGTAGTCATCTCAGCTCAATCTCCTGGTCTCTCCTCTTCCCTTTTTGCCATTCTTATTCCCAAATGTCTTCCTTATAAAGTCCAAATTAAAAAAAAAAAAAAGGTAAAAATAATTAGAATACATAAATGAATGGATATAGATTTATAGTAAATGAATTAATTATAGGCATTAATGTTAAAAATAATCTATACTCTCAATTAGTGAAGAGCAGTGGGCCAGCCCTGAAGAAAGTATATGGCGAGGGCTATAGCAACATAAGAGGTTTCATGGCCGGCAAACAAGAAGCTCAAAACCAAGTCCATTAACTGCTCTTTCCATAGATTTGAATTGTTGAGCACCCAAGCAAGCAGATCATTCCCTCTATTCTCCATCAACATCCCCTCCTCCATTTTCTCAATGATTGTCGATCGAAATTTTTATTTAACACAAAAAACATCCAAAAAAAAATTCTTCTTCTTCTAAAAAAAAAAATAAGTAAAATAAAATAAATAAAATAAAACTATTGAATATTAAAAAATGTGTATATATAAATCATTAATACCCGTAAAGCCTTCCAATAGGCAGTTCCCGGGAAATTCAAGGGATCGCAGACGACGCCTTTCATGAAAGTGATGTATTCGAGCAAACCCTAATTTACACCAAGACCTCCATCCACCAATTGTCGGAACCCAAATGATACAACACCTATCCATTTACTCAATCGTGAGCGATCGATCAGCCGACGGCGAATATCAAACTCGTAGAGTTCTTCAAGTGAAGAAACTATATGAGACAGAGGGGAGAGACCTGAATATGTGAAGAGGAAAAAAAAAAGGTTTACAGGATGAAGAAAGTGAATTCAAAAAACACGCTATGCTTCTGTTCTCCCCATCTGCCCATACAAAGTTCCCTGAGAATTTTTACGAACTACCTTGGTAACAGAACATTCTACAAGAGTAACTAACAAGCACATACCATACACCCAAACATACCCCATACACTATGAAATTGCATGCATATGCTCAATAAGCATCATCACATAATTCATTTCATTACCCAAAGAGTTTAATTCAACTAGCGTCCTGAACTGATACCAACATATAAAATACATTACACACCCAAAAGATGAAAAAGGTTCCATATTTCCACTTTTGTTTCAGGTGATACAAACAAACGAAGATTTTCCAAATATCCTTTGGATCACCACAGGCAGAATCCTTCAAAATAGTCTATCATAATATATGCACTTAGGCACACAAAACAAAGGTTAAATACGGGTTGGATCCAACGTTAACCCGACCAACAGAAGACAAACAGAAACAGCTGAAAAATTACATACAATCAACACTCTTTCTTTCCTTTTTTAGTGCTCGAATAACTTAATTTGACGAACCGAATAGACTTAACAGTTTCTCCATCCTTCTCTCAGGCTTCTACCCCTCCTGTACTCAATTTCAGCATCGGAGTTTGACGAACCGAAATGGCTATTACGACCGACTTTTGGTGCCCCCATCTTAGAGAATATGTCCTCATCATCATCACTCAGAGATTGGGAACTCGGTAACATTTTTCTGGAAGCAGTTTTTCTGGAAACATCTCCATTCTGTTTCTGTGGAGCTTGACCTGAGAAGTGAATAGAAATATTAAGTTATAGTTTACTGGAGCTGGAAAATGGGGCAGATAAAAGAAGTCATTACACATCACACCTATTCTTTCTCCTTGTTTTCCTAGGTACAAGATTCAATCAAGAATACAACCCAGGGTGGGGTGGGAAGGGGGGAAAATTGACTAGTGAGAAAAATCATATTCTTACAACCAAAATTATCCACTTAGTCTTAGTGAGTATTGCATAGTTACCATTATCAAACTTTGAGAGATTTAGCTTAATAAGAAAAGATCAAAGGTAAAAATATTTTTATATAGAAAACAAAAGGAACATTTGAAATATACAAACTATCCCCTCTGCATTTTCGTTTACAAATTACATCCTGCTGAGGGTTTAATTGTCACTATTTTAATTCTCCATGACGCATCTCCAATTTCAAACAAAAATGGATTTTGTACGCAAATATACTAAACCACAGGATAACTTTTAGAATTATTTCAAATCTAAAGAAAGATAGATGACATTTACTAGAAAACCTAAGAGATATAATGCAATACGATGATAAGTTGCTAATACGATGCAAAGTTACCACTACGATGCAATATGATGCTAAGTTGGTAACCTCCACAAGAAGACTTCAAAACCTTTTCCAACTAAGTAGAGAAAACATATAACCGAGATAATGATAATTCACCTTCAATAACTTTATCTCCACCGGGAGAGCCACTAAAACCGGGCCCTGGACTAAGTGAAATATCATCTTGCCCTTTCCCTTTCACTTGTCCAGTCAAGAAACGCTCGTCTCCTCCAGCAGACTTGTTAAGCGTAAAATTATCCTCCAACACATCAGATATCTCGACATACTGAGCCGTTGTGATGATCTCATCCGCACTGAACCCGAAAGAGGCCCTGTAAGCCTCCAATTCCTCGGCATCGGGCTTAATAATCCTGACTGACCTATTCCCATTGGAGTAAGCCTCAGTTTCCCGAGAAATACTCAACCGACCACCAGCCTGGGAGAAGGAAGACTGGTCATAGAACTGTGCGAACGTCTCCGGGCAGAAGAAGTTGGAGTCACGGCGGGATCTTGAGGTGTCGAAACGTCCCGACTCGGAATTCGGGTAAATGGGCTCCTGGGTGGAGATGGGGGACCTGGTGGGGCTCCCGGGATAGAGCGAGTATGTGGCCTGAAGGTCGTTGGCCGGTAGATTCTGGTTGGTGGCGGGACCACCCTTTGATAGGAAATGAGCGTACGGCACTTCCGGTGAGGAAGGGGTGGTGGTGAGATAGTGTGCGAGTTCGGGTGGAGGGGTGACGGGGGCAGTGGAGGGCTCAGTTGTGTAAGTGGAGAAGACGGGAGGGGACACGAGCTGGGGCTCGTTTGCGTAAGGGCCCGTGACAAACATGGTGGAGGAGGGCCCGGTGGGGGTGGGGGAGGGGGAGAGGAAGTTGGTTGGGGACTGGGCAGTGGAGGGGAGGCCGGAGTTGGAGAAGGAGGCGGGAGATGAAGGTGGGGCATAGAGGGAAGGGTGAATGGCAGTGGTCTGATTAGGGAGGGCCACGGCCTGATGGGGTCGGTTGGGCTGGTTGGGGTTCGGGTTGCCCTCGGGCATGCGTGATGCGGGCACGATCCTCTTACCACCTTTGGGTTTGCGGAAGCACGGCAGCCCGCCGAAACAGCTCCCCAACCTCTTGCACTGCCGATCAGATTCACACGGTTAGGGAGTTTTATAGAAGGAACAAAGGAAAATGCATAAGAGACTGGAAAATTGGTATGTTTCAAATCTCAAGGTTATAAGTGATCTCTGGAGTTATAGGGCTATTCAATATTTTACCCCAAGCTAGTTAAGTATACGCATAAAAATACGGGTTTTTATCTTTTCCGTCTTCATGTTCATATTTATTTATTTATGTTTCTGTATAAAAATTCAAAATGGAAGATTAGCATTATGCGTACAGAAATCATTTGATGCGTTTGAGAGTTCTACCCCGATTATCATTTACCCTTCAGAGAAACAATTTCTATCATACAAGTTCTGGAAAAGTTCTATAATGTCCATGCTTTATTAGTCTACAATAGTACAATAAGAAGAGTCCTTCAATAAGATGTAGTAGAAGTCAAGATCTCCATGACGGTAAATGGAATTCAATTAAATATTGACAAAAGCTATACAAACCATTTGATCTCAGTTGTGTTCAACCCCAAGTAATCATGAAGTTCCCTAAATATTCAATGTTCTGTTGATGTAGCATTCTTTCCTATAGTAAAAAAAGACCATAAGTAATAACCAATCAACTCTCAGTGAAATCCATGTCCACTACAAAATTACCATGACAGTTGAAATGGTTTTTCAAGACATACAATTAGGCAAACGTGGCAAACAAGCTATTTCTCAAGCTTTCAACTTATCAATGTTCACTTAGGAAAACAACTTCATTGGTACCATTGTTTTCATTACATGAGCTCTTCTATGATAAACCTTTCACAAAAATTGTATTCCGGTTTAACTTCCCACATAATTACATCTTTCTTTGCCTGTGATTCTCCAATTTCTCGTAACCTCAGACAGTACAAACACTGGTATTCTCCAATGCACATAAAAACCTTTGGCTTCAAACCAACCTCGCAATGCAATTAAAATCTCAGAGAGTGAGATCACATCAGCTCTGGTTAACCTGATTAATCTTTCTAGGTTGGTACATTAAACATCATTAAGATACTCTGTTGTTTCACACATTAATATTACAAGTCTGTTATGGTATATGCATTACCCATGCACATAAATGAGAAAAACTTCTTACAGCAGAATTTTAAAAATTGTCTTTAAAAAAATAATCTTAGCCAGCTTCTATACTCTGACTCACATTCCAATTATGATCCAGTTATTAATACTATTTCAAGCTTAACTGCAGGTATCTAGCAATCAATAATTCAACAATACGACTCCATATTATGCCAATGTTCATGAATACATAAATAAGTTATACAGAAAGAATGGACTTACCATAATTGTTATGTATTTTAATGTATGCTTTGATTTTTAGAAGCGCATACCCGAGGAGCTGCTGCTTGCTGTGGCTGCATAAATCTATTCTGGTCTGACGCCATAGACAAGAAGGTTTTGCAGCAGCACCACTTAAAAGTTGTACCTTTTATTAGCCAATAATTATCCACCAACTCACAATCCAAAAAAGGATAATTTACAACGCTGGCGTTTTCCTGTGCGTGCATTCGAATAATTCAATATTAAGAACGAGGTTCATAATCAAGCAAGCAACCAAAGTCATATTGAAGCAACTGTCGCCCGATAAGCATCGAGAATCCAGAATTCGTACACATGACACATCGGCATAGCTACCAGTCTATTTAATGAAAAGAGATTAATATTTTCTACAGAATGCAGATAATCAAATTTCTGGTAGAGTTGGCCTTAAATGTAACTCATATCATCCGATTCAAATCCATCTAAATTAAATATGAGAGGATCATAAATCAAGTCCAAACAAAGGTCAATTTAATTTCGTGAAAAATCATCGGCATGATTTCGAAACGGGTCATGAGAAGTAAATTAAAAAGATAACATTTTTTTTTCTTTTAATTTATTCAACACATAATTCCCAACTCCAAAAATTACAGATACTTCCAACCGCAGCCCATCAAGACTTAAGAATTTTCATGGCTGTTTCTGTCACTTGTAATACACAGTATTTTATTCCATTCTTGGACCAATATACAAGCATAATTTGCATCTTATACATGAAAGTGACCCACTATAAGAAAATATTAGTTCTTACTGACGCCACAAACCGCAAATTACTAAACAATTTTACAGAGAACGACGTAAAACAAACAAACAAAAGGTTCACCAGCCTCCAACAAATTCTTTCACTATCCAGATAAAAGAACTGTGAGCAAGCAAATGTAAAAGAAGACCAACACACGCAGAGAGAGAAAAATCGGTGTCATAAGCTTAAATTCCATGCCTCAACTGAAGCTTATTCATAAAAGAAAAAAACCAAAAACAAAGTAAAATTGCGGTACCTGAACAGCGAAGTATCTACATTTCCATAACGGATCTGGACAGGAGAGTTGATTATCAGCTAATGTAGGAAAAAGGGATGTGCGAGTGCGAGTAGAATGTGTGCGTTTTTTTACAAGTGAAAGTGAAAGCAAAATGCCAGATCTAATCTCTCTGCTCTCTAATCTCTTATGTGGTCTTTTCTTGGTTGATGATTGTAGTGTTTGCTAAAATTTGCTTTTTCTTTTTATCCTTTTTCTTTTCCTTTTGGTAAAAAAATTCATTAAAAAATTGGGAGTAAAGTAAAAAAATTCAATGCTTGTGTTTGGTTGACTTGTTGATACAAATGGCTGATTGATTAGTGGGTTAATTGCGGGTTGAAACTTGTAAAAGAAAATGATTGTCGGTTAGTTGTTGATTTTAAACGATAGAGTGATAAACTTAAATTATTAAATTAGTTGATTGAAGAGTAATTAATGGATGCAGAAATGTTTATCAGCCAAGCCAAGGCAATATATAATAAAAAAGTACTCAAAATTTTTTATGTCATGTTTATTACATACGAACGTAAGTTCTGTAATAAAATTCTCATTCAAATTCTTCTTTTCTCATTTTTTTGAGTTGTTTTGGTCGTGTTTGTTTACCAAATTTCTAGAAAAAAACTAGAAAAAAATCTATCTTAATTCAAAATCAAACTCGACTTTGAACTCAATCCCACTATTCTCAACATTATCAATATAACCAAAATATCATTCAACTATTTTTACACATTACATCAATTTTAATTCACTACTAACCTACTCACATAATTTTAACAACATATCATTCCAATCATATATCTCCTACTTTTACATCAAATTATTTTTATTTATTTTATTTTAAATATTATTTTAATACATTTTAAATTTTCACTAACAACTAGTCATATTAACTTTTTTCAAATAAACTTTAGTTAACACAAAAAAAAAAAGATTTTTTTTAGTTTTTTATAAACAAACACGGCCTTACTTGGCCTGACCAAATTCATAACATTGACAATATCATGATCATCCCTCTATGATTCTAGTGATAACTCATTCGAGAAGTCTAAAATTTATCTCATTGCAAGATGACAAAAATATAAAATCAAAGGATTGTATCTGCACAAGCAACAAAATACATTGTCCTCTTTGATCAGCAATAGCCCTATCCTCGATTATCATTTCAATAAATTCAATTATAGAAGAGAACATAGAGATAATGTTCGACTTCTTTTTATATAGAATATTCAAAAAATCTTAATTTTTTTAATATGTCTCGCAAGTTCTCCAATTTTGCCTTTTCTTCTTAACTATTTATTTGAAAATCATACCTACATATATTTAGTAGCAAAAATCAACTGCCCAGGCTGGCCCAAGTGTCAATCCGCCCTTGATTATTCATATAGATATTACTGGAATTTACAAATTAGTATGAAACATATTTTAAAACTATATACTAAACACTAAAATATAAATAAAATAAAAAACTCTGACAACTATCATGAGCGTGTTAAAAACGATAAATTTGATGTTAGGCCGACATACTTTTTTTTTATAAATGTGTATATTTTCTATAATGCCCCAAACTTATGTCGTTTATTTCTATGCTTAGTATTATTATCATGGATATTTATTATGTTTAATTTAATGATTTATGATATTTTATTTTAATTTCGGTTGAGCTCGATGGTATTTATTTTTCGATCTAGTGAGTGTCCTCACTCAATAATTTTTTATTTTAAATGGAGAATAAATGAGAATTTATTTAGATGTCCCCATCTATTTAATTTTTCTAAATAAAAAAAAATTCTTTAATCATAATTATAATCGAACTAATAAAGAGCATTAATCTAAGATAAATTGAGCGCAAAATCAGTCCAATAACCCTCTAGAAATTCCCCTAAACCGTGCATGTCTAAGAGGAAGAGGAAAAGACTTTCCTTTCCTACCAAGTCATAGTAAGATGGAAGGAAATCAAATGCCTTATCACATTGGGAGTCCTAAAGCAACCCCAAATCTCTTTAACTCCTTCCTATATATAAGGTATTATACCATTAGAGATTAATCTTTTCTCTGATCGTAAACACCTAGCCTCTTCTCAAAATCTTTTCCTCTCCTGAATCATGCGGAAAAAAAAAAGAAGAAGAGAGAACGAGCGAGCCTTCTTCCTCCCGGCCAGCCACCCGTGCGCCTCCTAGCATCAGCCGTGCGTCGCCTTTCCGTCCCAGCAGCCCCGCGCGCATGAGCAGTCCAAGCAAACGCCCTCAGCCCCCGAGCAAGCCTTCCGAGACTTTTCCTTCCATTTTTTGAGCATTCCGGAGAGCGGTACCTCCTTTTGAACCCATGGACTGAAATATATTGTGCTAGAAAAAAATAAGATTTAATTAAAAGATGTTTAAGCCTAAGGTTGATGCTGAAGCTTGCCTAATATTCCATTTTGGTGAGAGTTATATGGATTCAATGCATGTTTAGGATTTTAAGGTGTTGCTCTTGATGATTTCTTGATGTTATGCATGGAATTTATGTTTTTGTGGCCTCTGTTGTGAGCTGTTTTTGGTGACCACGAACTCGTTTCTTGGAAATGTGTTCTTCATTAGATATGTGGAAAATTTCGTTAGTTTTCAGTAACTTTTAGAATCTTGGGAATCGGAGTTCATATGTATTTTATATAATTTTTACAAGCCATTTGTGCATCCAGTTTTTTTAAAAGTCGGGGCTGTGTATATGTGTTGAATGTATGGCCTGCTTTGATGAATCAATCGTGCTTATATGCATTAGTACCCAACATAAACATTGTATTTGAGTTATGTTTTATAGGGAGTTGGAATGTTTAAAAAATTAAGTTAAAATGAATTTTAATAAGATTTTTACAAGTCAACTATGCATGTTGTTTTCAAGAATTATGACTGTGTTCATGTGTTTAATGTATGATATGCTTAGGGGTGTCGAACATATTTATATGAGATAATGATCAACATGAAAGTTGTGAAAAATTAAGTTAGCTTTCTGATAATTTTAGAATTTCATGAATTGAAGGCCTGTAGCTCGAGATATTAAAGATTTACTAAGGGGCTGTAGGTGTTAAGTTTTGTTTCTAGCAGATTTCTTGTGTTACATGTTTGATGTTTAAGCTCATTGGGAATGACCTTATTTGCTTAAGTGATCTTCATCAAAGTTGTTCCTTATTTAGTTGTCTTTCCAGTGGATTTTAAATCTTGATAAAAGCATGTCGGTAGCTCCTGCTATTTGTCATTTACTGAGACCCTGTATGTTGGATGTTTCTATTTTGGTACTGCAGCTATGATTGTAATGTTTGCTGGAAAATATGTGATCAATTGACCTTGTTTGCATTAGTTATCTTCATAAAAATTGTAGAGACATTCATTAGGGAGATTTACCAACTTGAAGCAACCTTATTTGATTAGTTTGCTGCATATGGCCCTCATTTTAAAATGGTCGCGCATGCTGAAATTTCACAAAAGTCATGCCTTGTTTTCAAAATGGTTATTGCCTTTCAAATTAATGTTTCCGTAACTTGTTCGAGTTATGATGTGTAATATGATCATGGAATGAACTTAAACTGCTATGTGTGGAGCATTAAGCAAGCTAAGCCATCAACTCAACCTAAAGCTCTAAATGCAAATGTTTTTTCAAAAAATGCAAGCAAGGCGAAGCCGAGCACGCATAGTTTTCATAGATTCATGTATGAGTATAAGAGATGATTAAGAGCTATGATAAGATTCTAAGATATGCCTCAATCAGTGTAGTTTTACAAGGAGTCGAGCCCTCGAGTTTTCTTTCAAGTTCAAAGCCTAAGTCAAGCATTCTTCAAAAAGGTGGGGGAAGTTCTACGTTATTTATCCTTCTTGATTATCTATGTTTTGAATGAAGTTAAGTAGCTTGCATAGTACCCATGTTTATTAAATGTTCCAACATTCGAGCAAGTCATTTGTTGCAGTACCAAGGTTCACGGACTTTAACTCTAGAGGGTGGCTAAGTGCTAGGGTTAGAGGGTGTAAGTGATTATATGTAACCTTCGTTGGTGCACACTTCGAACGGTTGTCCCCATCGATAAGACTGTACGGAGCCTAATGAAAGGTTGTCTTCCTTCAACCTAATGAAAGGTACTCTCATCAAGCCTACTTGGTCGTGCCATTTGCGAGAGACATTGTTCCTCCACCACCATAAAGTGGTATAAGGAGTTTGATGAGTGGTGGGAGTGTGACAAGAATGTAATCACCTGCATGCAAAGACTCTAGTGTTTAGTTGTCTAATAGTGTTGTAGAAGCAAGAAAGTCTTTCGACTTGTGGGCAACCACTCGTCGAGAGCTCATGATTATGTTGAGTATACCTAATGATTTCATGCATGGTAGTTGGTTAGGATGGTAACTTAGAAGGATCCTTCACGGAGTAAGTGGAAATGCTCACCCCTTTTTGTTTTCCACACCCAGGTTTTGGCGAGCTGGCAATGTAGCGATGGCAAGGGTGGTCAAATGTTTAAATGTTCATGTTTAAATGTTTCAAATGTTTTCACTGAGTAAATTTTATGTTTATGTAGCAAGTCGAGGTTCATGTAAGATAAGTTAATGTGTAAGTCCTCGAGGCAACACCATGTGATGTATATTGTTTATGAAAGGTTCATGTTCGAAAAGTTTTCAAAATAAGTAGCGCCCTAACTTCAAGTAAAGTTTGCAAATGTTTGTAAAAAGAAAAATTTATTCTAGAAATTCAAGGTATGAAAAGTGGGGTGTTACATTTTCATTTGTTATGCTCTCATAAAAGACATAAACATAAATATAGTAAAGTATGACATTTGATAGGAGGATGTACATTGATGCGGTTCGATCGAAAACCACACAAACAGTTAAAAAAAAAAAGAAACCGTCCAAGTAGAATGTGTCGAATACGTCCAAGTTGCCCACAAGGAGCAACCGTCTGTGCTCGGCACTTCTGTGCTAAATGCCGGACAGAGCGCAGGAGATCAAGACCCAGACTGGATGGTCCCGATTCGGTCGTACCTCGAGACCTGTGCCTTGTCGTCTGACCCAAAAGAGGCCAGACAGCTCTGTACTCGGGCAGCTTGATTTATGATCGTGGCCAGTGAATTGTTCAAACGGGGATACTCGGCACCCTTGCTCAAATGCTTAGACGATAAAAACGCCGAGTACGTGCTTAAAGAAATCCACGAAGGCGTGTGCGGGAACCACTCAGGGGGTTATGTCCTCGCCCATAAGGTCCTCAGGCAATGTTATAACTGGCCGAGCTTGAAGAAGGACGCCCTGGATCTGGCCGGAAGATGTGCAAAATGCAAAACTTTTGCACCCAACATCGTCCAGCCATCTCAGTCCCTGAAGTCGATCTTCAGCCCGTGGCCATTCGCTAAGTGGGGTATCGACCTGATCGGCCCCCTACCCACAGGGAAGGGAGGAGTAAAATACGTCGTTGTTGTCGTTGACTACTTCAGAAAATGGACGGAGCCGAGCCGCTTGCTACCATCACTGAGCAGAAGATGATTGACTTTCTATGGAAATCCATCATATGCCGGTTCGGGGTCCCGAACTCGATAATCATCGACAATGGCAAACAATTCGAAGGGAAGAAATTAGAGACATTTTGCGAGGAATATAACATCAAGCACTTCTTCTCGACACCTTACCATCCTCAGTCAATCGGTAAGGTCAAAGCCGTGAACAAAATCATCAAGCAGGGCCTCAAGGTCCGACTTGAAGCCGCAAAAAGAACCTGTCCGGAAGAACTCCCAGGCGTGCTCTGGGCATACCGCACTACAACTCGATCGTCCACTGGGAAAACACCGTTTTCCCTAGCGTACGGGTCTGAGGCAATGATACCCATCGAGCTCGGTGCCCCAACCTTTCGAGTATTTAACTTCGAGGAAGAATCCAATTCTGAGTCATTGAGGGTAAACCTCGACTTGATAGACGAGCACCGGACTCAAGCCGAACTAAAAAATGCGGCATACAAGAGGCGGAGTGAAATATACATCAACTCCCACGTTAAACCACGCTCTTACCAGGTCGGTGATCTGGTACTCAAAAGGGTGACGGGGCCCGATCCCGAACCCCTCAAACCAAAATGGGAGGGACCCTATAAAATCAGTGAAGTCCTCTCACACAGCGCTTACCGTCTCGAACATCTGGACGGCACCCCCCACCAATACTCGTGGAATTCGACATTCTTGAAGAAGTTCTATCAATAGGTCTAGGGTGGTCGTTTGTAATTACCCTATGTTGTAAAGAAAATTAATGAACCTGCCAGAGGACATGTAATTTTACTTTATTCCCAACAGCTTAGGCTTAGATCGAGTCGAAGCGGCGTAATTAATGTAAGGAACAAAGTGTCGGCTGGGATCAGTACGATGACCCAGTCGGCACTAGCCGGGCTCAACTAGGAAGCCCAGTCAGGCCAATAATATCACCGACTCCGAACACGAGACCGGTCTGGTAAACTTCCACATAATTATGTGTCGGTCGGGTCAGTACGATGGCCTGGCCAGCACGAGCTGGGCTCAGCAAAGTAGCTCGGTAAGGCTAAAGCTGCCAATTGTAAGAAATGATAAAACGAGCTCGAACACAAAGCTCGACAAGGCCAAACCATCGCCCGGTTCAACAGGTAAATCGGACAAAAAATGCGCCAAGTAAATAAAAAGCGTCGAGCCCGATCACGAGGCTCGGCCGAATAAAAAGCGTCGAGCCCGAGCACGAGGCTCGGCCGAATAAAAAGCGTCATGCTCGATCACGAGGCTCAGCCGAATGAAAAGTGCCCAGCCCGACCACGAGGCTCGACCACGTAACTAAAAAATGTCGAGCCCGACCACGGGGCTCGGCCAAATAAATAATTGCTGAGGAGCCAGCCCCGACCAAGGAGCCCGGCGACTCCACCAAACTCAAAAGGCCCGAATCGCCAAAAAAAAAAAAGAACATGAAAACACGCAAGCAATAGCTAGAGGTTCATTCATTCGAAATAAAGTCGTAAATACCAATAGTGTAGCAATTCGCCGAACCAGCACTAAAGAAACATTAAAAAAAAGCAGTAAATTGTGTTGACGAGCATTTTAGGCCAATGGTTAAAAAGGTAAATATTGAAAGTACAAGACTAGAAACAAAGAAAAGATATGGTTTAATTACGATTTTATTAAACGATCACGAGGTCGACCTCTCGTGCGAGGTCGGCAGACTTTCTTGACTAGGCTCGCTCATAGGGTGCTAGGCTATAACAACTTGTCCCATCATCCAATGATGACCTTCCAAGTGGGAATATTTTAATGTGCGCCGAGTCCCACCCTTTCCTGGGTGGCCACCCCGGGTCTCCAGGTCGACACTTTCCT